TAATGGAAGTGCTAAGTCATCTGCGAAGTTCAAATAGTCTAGTCGCATTCTAGCTGTCGATTGTATTTCGTGTTTTTTTTCATATGTGGAGGTCTTCATAATCCAGTCAACCACTAGAATAAAGGGAAAGGATGAGAGTAAGCAGCCGCTTCTGACACTGGTCCTCACTTGGAATACATCTGTCGGCTGCTCTTTGTCCACGACTTTGCAATGTTGTCCTTTGTAAGAATTCAGTATGATTGTGACGATCTTCTCAGACACACGATAGATGTGACACTCATACAGGACGGAATATGATTTAAGGAAATTTGTATTACTACTTCATCTTATTCTAGATTGTTGTAATATTTACGTATGAGAATTGAAATGGAATCTTAGATTCAACGGTTCATATGTAGTTTGTTGTTGCTGTTCATGTTCAACTTATTTACAATAACATTCTTATCATCTTTTTGAATATGTCATTATTTTTTGTGATTTGTCAATTTTATCGGTTCATCTATCGTATTGATAACAATTTGTAAATGTTGCCTCCGGTTTATTACATGTGTTCTTTTCCCGTACAAATTTAACTTTGTAATTGTTTAAATTATAGATAAATATCTGTGATATCAAATAGGTTTATTTTTACACAATCTTCTTCTGTAAACTACATATGTTAAACATCTCTTTTCGACCTTGTACGTATGTAAATTAAATTAGTTCACTCCATCCCACAATGTTTTTAATTCTTGTTTCATGTAAGTTTATTTATGGAACTATTTATTTGAGGTTTTTGAAATCTTTCTATCGTCATTTTAGGTAGATTACATGACTAATTCATCATCAGATGAAGAAAAATTATCTAGTGAAGAACGCGAGAAAATATATGAAGAAACTGGGGTTGATGAGGAAGTCGCCCTGAAAACTCTACTTACTGACATCAGTAAGTTGTTTTTGATTAGTGAAATTTATTTCTGTATATTCATGGAATAGTGATAGCCTTATATGGAGTAGATGGACGGTAAATGTCAACCACTTAACCGTCTCCTTAAACACTAGAATCCACCTAAACATTAACCTAATTTCTCATTCATCCCAATTTTTTTCACTTTTGTCCGTATATGCTACTTTTTTTACATAAATTCTTCCCCCTCAATATATGGTGCTAAATAAACAGACTTATGGAATACCATAAAAGTACAGTTCAAACAGTATGTTGGAGTTTGTAGAGTCTGGAATTTTCCCCATGTTTCATTAGCCATCCTTAGCTGTAAATATTTGTTTAAGTTTCGTGGCACGCACATGAAATCCTATTGCAGTCATCCTCACGATATCATTGGTTTTATACTATTAATCTTCATTAAACTTATGACGACCGATGAGTTCCAAAATTGTTAGTGCTTAGAACAGTGTTAATATCGAATACTGAAGTTTCCCTATCAAGTTTCATGTTATTCAGGTAGTTTTTCTTCGTAAAAGAAAAAAAGTAATATCTGCCAGTATTACTATAATTATTTTTTTCAAAATTTAATAATTCCTCTTGAATTATATGTACAAAACATCTAAAGACAGAATTGCATTTTGAAACCCCATCTAAATAGACCACTATTCTTTTGTTTTCACCTATATCCTAGACTTCTGAAAAAGGTTGAGGTTGTGGTTCTGTAGTTTAAATACCTAACCTTCAACTGTCAGGTTTCACACTATAACTTTGATTAAACCCCATTCATTAAATCGGAGACCGGTAGTATCAATAACCCCTACACGAAAATTGTGACTCAAACCCAAGTACATGAATCTGTTGTTGATTACTGAATTATATTAAAGCTATTAAACTATGAGACAAGACGGCGCTGTGCTTTGAAGAAATTTGAAAGCTATAAGGGTCATTAGTAGTTCATGTATTGCTTTGATTATAGTTATGACTGTTAGAAGTTAATTCTTGGAAGCGTGTGACTAGTGTTATTTTGTCATATATTTGCCCATCTGCTTCACTCGAAAATTTTCTTTTGTCTATCCTCTGATAGATGAAAGTTCAAGCGTATAGGAATCAATGCATAAAAATTTAATTTCTGAAGCTCATTTATACTTTATCTAACACGTCTATCTTGCGTTATTTATGAGGGTCTATTACCTTCTTGGTTAGAAATAAATGACTGTTGGTTCTAATATGAATTTCCTCTACATTTATTTATTCTATTTATTAAAACACATAAATATTGGTTCAAGTAAGCATCAAATACATATGCGCCAGATGAATCCGTTGATTTGTGTGAGGGCTGGAACACTGACCGGGTGCCCGAACCGAAGCAGGTGGTTTTCTTAGGGAGTCACATCACGAGCCTTTTGTCTGAAGGTCTGACCCATCAGGCGGTGGAGAAACGTCAGGATATACAGTCCCATGGTAGCCGGTGACCAAGGATTGGTTCATACGCCATTGGTTCCCTCAGGGTACTATAGCCCATGTGCACCATTAGTTTGAATCAAGGTTTCTCAGCTCTCCTAGGTGGATCGTCCGTACCGACCAACCCGGTTAAAGCGCCGGACATTCGCTTTGTGTCCTCTCAATTTCGTGAACAACAACCCCGCCACGAGAAGACAGTGAGTAGGACTTCCCTGGCAGTGGTTGTATGCATGTGGCCATTTGAGAGCACAACACTAGTAGTTCATTCTAACAATTCGTATTATTTCAGACTTAAAAACTTACATGATTATATGCCTTAGCTAGAAGACTGCAACGCCACAAATAAAACATCTCAGTTTATACAAATGTAGGTTATGTGTGGTATAATACTGAGTAACACGTATACAATTAATCAGCTGTATCAACGAAAAAACTCATCGTATCTATTTATTTTGTTTAATCAATTGTAATTTATGAACGGTTAAAGATATATCAGTAGTTAGTGAGTTAAATGAAAGCCTACAATATTGTAGTTTACTCCAAGTCGCAATGTAATTGTTTATTCAAATCATTCCATGCAATTTACAGCCCTTGTTTTATTGTTGTGTAATATATAATGAAAGTGATTTTTTCTTCTATTGAGATTTTTCTAATATTTCGTTGTGTGCGATCTATTGATTTTACTTTTTTTTTTTCCTACAACAGGTAGTGAAGAAGAGGAAAAGTCTGAAGATGACATGCAAGACGTGGAAGAAAATCCACCTGTTGATGATGAGGATAATATTTATTCTAAGAGACGTAGTGAAATAGATGATATAAAAAAATCTAGAAGAAATGATTTCCAAAAGGGTACAAAACATTCAATATCCATTCATAAATCAGATGATAGATTAGAGGCCACTACAAAATCTCATCGTAGTAATAAAAAACGTCAAGACAACGACAATGACAGTGGATCATCATCAAGTTCGAGTTCTTCATCGGCTGATGATTCTTCTACATATTCTTCATCTGATTCCGACCTTGACAACCGACTTAAGTCAATACAGAAAAATGCGAAAAAAGCTGAAGTGTTGCAAAAACTCTCAGAAACCATTCATGCACCTTCACTTTCATCTGGAATTGGTAGTGGTAGCATTCCAATTGACAATCAACCAGTAAGCTGTGGCAATAATTCAAATTTAAAACGTTTACCTACTGATTTATCTGCATCTGTTAATTCAGATACTTCAGCAGATTCACCCGCTGCAAAAAAATTACGAAATGACACACCATCTGGTTCATCAACAATTTCAACTGACAATGAATTAGTAAATACTGTACGTAAATACTTAATGAGAAAGCCTATAACAGTTAGAGAGTTACTAAAGAAAATTCGTCTACGCAAATTGGTTGGTAAAAATGAAGATGCACAGACAGTATTGGCTAATGTATTACGTCAGCTTAGACCTATCAAGCAAACAATTAATGGACAACATGCTTTATCTTTAAAACATTAATTGTCTAACATAAAATTCCTATTTTTTAAAAAATTGCATGTATAGACATTGCTTTTTCTTTTCCGAGCTATATTTATATATTTTTTCATAATGTAAAGAAATATATGTATATTTGTACACAAGAAATGTACATGTATTTTTAGTAATTGATTTGAACACATTCATTGTGTATTCTTTAATAAAGCATTTTTTGGAACAGTCGTCTTTCTCTACAAATTACTGATAGTTTGCGTTTGAAGTTTGCCTGGATCTAAGTGTGTTTGACTGCATTGTTAGTATGGAGTCATACGTTTGTCTTAACTGGTGCGAATATATTTCGAGTTGACTGGGTAATTTCTTTTAATAGTCAATTAAAGAACAATACTCTCCGTAGCTTACTGGCATTTTATCATAGATGCCTTCGGATCATTCCCCGCTTATGGTGAGACAGCCAAGTATGCAATGTTTAGGTTAGACACATGGTTCTAGGTAAGAATGACGAATCGGTTTACGAGGTAGTTGTTCGTTATTGATGGAGTAGGTAGGAAAATGTGTTAGGGGATGGCCAAACGAAAACATGACATTAGACCACGAAATGATTGACAATTGAACTGAGCTGTGTAGGTAGGTGCAGTCTACTTGGCTATGATCGGCGCATTGTCCTAGATCAGCGGTTAGCGACACTAGATTATATGTCTCGGGATCATTTATTCTTTTTCTTTCACTAGATCTTGTGTTTTACGAATATACACTTTGTTGGGCTGGAGTTATTTTCAGCAGATTATATCGGGAAATTCTCGTTATTACCAGCTAAGCTTTTAAAAATCAGGACTTTTGTTGCATCATCTACGACACTTGATTGATTTGTTTTGATTATATCTGAGTTGGGATGTAACAAAGTTTGTTTTATAATTAGAAAACTGACTACAAACTAGATAACATCCTTCTGTGTTCAGTCGTTTCATAAGATATTTTTCATGCTACTTATTATTACCAAGTAGTGTAAATATTGTTTGTGTTCAACTTAAAATAAGGTGATTTGTTATCATTTTCACCACAGTGCGAATCCTGTTGAAATTTCCACATCAACTTTAGAACGACGCTTCTCGTTGTTCTAGTTATCTTTATCCCATTTAATGGTAAACTGGTTAATAATCTCTATCAGTGGCATATTGGGATTTGGATTGTTATCCTTTACGTCATCAATGTAAGTTCTATCGCGTAATCTTCACATTGTTACCTCTGTCAGTACATTTTGAGTGATGAATGAAGGTACATATCTTTCTTGTGAACCTCTTGATTCGTTTTAATACAATGACTCTTTATTGATTTTCATTAAGTGATAGGTCGGTGCATTTTATTTGAAACAATCACTAAAAGTAAGTCTACTTAGTAAAATTTCCCATCAGAAAATCCTTTTTTAACTAAAGCTATCGTTTGTAACCAAATATGATAAGATTTTTCATCAATGTTCTGGTGGGATTAACTGCATTTACCTGTGATGCTGTTAAGATAAATAGTTTATCAAGAGAGAATTTGGTGTATATAGTATTTGCAGAAAATATGGTCCTATTATGCGGAAATACTGCCAGGAGATAAAGTCTCTTGAAAGCTTTGGAAGCTTATCTGTGGATTTTTTGAAAGTGTCTGGCACCTCCACATCAATTTATCGTGAAGTTGGACATGCTCTAAATTGTTTTCATTTTACTTTCTAATAAATATATTAAAAAAACCTATACCACAGCACATTTCAGTCTCTTATGCAATTTCAGGCGTAACCACAGGAATTCGCTTACATTACTTAAAAATGTTTATCGTTCTCAATCAAAATACTTCCAAATTCATCGATCTGCTAATTAGTAGCTATACAAAAAAAAGCTTACACTGCCAGTGTTTTAACGAATTCAGTCTCAAACAAAATTACCTGATTCTGGGTTACATTTGTTTGCTGATTTCTTATTCTTATTTTGTCACTCGACTTTCAACATTTGAATAATCATCAAATAATTCCAGTTAACACTTCATTTGTTACTATTTTTATCTCATCTTTTCGTTTACCTTAAGGATCATGTCTGTATTTCGTAATCTAGCCTGGTTTTCAAAAGGGATGCGTGAATACACAAAGTAAGTAATTTTATTTAAAATTACATACAATTACTTGAGTATGCAAATGATTATAATGTGGAATAGATTTCGGTTTTTATATATGGGTCTGATATTTTTGTTATATTTTGTCGCCTTTTGTCCTATTAATACATAACATAATGATACCACCAATTAGAGAACAGTGGCTTATCGACCGGACCAATGGCGCATAAACCCGTAGAAAATAACATTTTACAAATCCAACCAAAAGTGACTGTGAATGTGGGAGACTGTAATTAATTGACTGGGTATAACTCAAGAACGGCAAATCGCATAATAACAGTCCATGGATCAAAACAAAGCTTGTAATAGGTGAACCTGAATATTCATAGTTTAGTTACTTAACAAATATATAATAAAAAGATATATATCGTATTGCTCCATAGATAGTTCACAGAATGTACCATTCATAATTCTCGTCGGGATATAACAATTTTGATGTCTGTACTTTGTCAAAATCCAGATTTATTTGTTCCACATACGTGTAATGCAGAAATGTGTCTTTAACTTATGCATGAGTATGTACTCAGCTCAGTCATACTATTTGTCTAGTGCATAGGGATGCTATCGTATTAGAAAGATTAGAGTTCGAAACTGACTTACCGTTCTAGGATTAACACTACCTTACAAAGTAAAATGAATAAGAACTAACTTCATCACTATGTAACAGTTTGCTTGATAAGTTGTTAGAGTAGTATTAAATCAAATTACGAATGCAGTCGAGTTAGAATCCTGATGAGTATGTGTTTGACCATGTATTTAAGCGTTAATTTTGTTATTTCGAAAAGCTGTATTGATGGTATCCTTTCACGTTCCAAACATTAGCTGTTAGTCTTTGTTATATTCATATCTAAACATATAACTAGCTAACTATCAAATGAGTTTCTATTTCTAGCTTCATCTCGACATTACTTCTCCTTCTTGCCTTTTAAGTTACACTCTGAATAATTACTCAATATTTCAAACTGTTTTATGGCTTGCTTGATGGTGTGCACATTTTTTGCGTTAACTTCGTCTGTTTTGAACGGTTTGTCATTCCTCTAAATTTTGATTTTTGCCGTTCCCAATGAGACTTAATAATTCTACATAACTTTTGCACTTCATATTCAATAACGATAAAGTCAATATTACATATAGCCGAGTGATTATTCAAAAAAGATATTTCAAGCTATGAAAAAAGTCGAGTAGCTGAAAAACTTCATTTATTGCTGAGTCCATATACCACTCAATAGATAGGAAGGCTGAATTTTTAAGCCGGCCTAAACAATTTTTCCAGAATTTCTTATCTGACTTCAGGGTCACACGACACCCAAATTAAATTACTGATCTACATTATAAACACCACGCCTTTCATAAACACACTAGACATGTTTCACGTGATGTTTCATCAGAATCTCTGAATGTATTCTTTACTAACAAGATTTAATGTCTTAATTGTGTCTAGTGTTGTATGTGATGATCATTTATTACAGATCGCTGCCAAAGTCCATTACTCTTTTTTCATCTATTCAGATCAGGCTATGAGTCAGCTGCTTCACATTTTGACCCTAATGAGTTGAAAAATGTATGCTTAGACAATCGCCGTGTTTTAGTAACTGGAGCCAATTCAGGGATCGGCCTCGTGTGTTGTAAAGAATTAGCCAAACATGGTGCAGAAATCCATATGGTTTGTCGCAGTAAACCTCGTGCTGAAGAGGCGCGTCAACAGATCATCTCTGAAACTGGAGTCAATGATTCGGTTAGTTATTCTTTTTATCAAGAAGTATGATGAAAACGTTTCCTGTGATTATCTTTTTCAATGTATGTATCTTTTTATGAGAATTACTAAGAATGTATGCAGCTAGTGATGCTGAAGTCTCAAGTAATGCTTTCGGAGGAAATTAATTTTAAAATTCGCGTATTGATTTTAACTGAACTTCGTTCAGTTAACTTTCAATCCATTGTCGATGTACTGCGGTTTTTCGTTCAGTAGCGATTGTTCAGTTCGGTAAAATTATGTATTAAATAATCATTGACATGTAATTTGAATAAACCTAAATGCAAATTAATTCTTCCGGATTCTCTATCAATACAACTCTTGTACGAAATGGAGTTTCCATACAGTTAGTGGGGAAGGCAAGAAAAGTATAGAAACAATCTCGTTCGTCGTAATAAAATTGGACTTTTGGAAATTAATTTAGTCTACAAACATGTCGTCCTGTCCCTCGTCATTAAAATTACTAAGGATGTATACTGCTTGAACAATAAATAATAGCTCTAATAGGTTATTCAGCTCTTAAGAATATGTCGAATTTTGATTTGAGTGGCCAAAGCAACCAACTAGTATGTTTCGGACTCAATCATACTACTACGAATTAATTCACTCTTTATCTAAATACTGGTTTTTTTGTAATGATTGATTATTTATTTTTCCTTGATTTCTCATTTTTGTTAACCTTTCTCGTCATGTATTTGTCAATGCCGATAGTTCGAAAATTAGTTTGCTTGACAGGATGCCAGTGAATATCGTTGATACACGTCCTTACGCTACGTACTTTTTGTAGTTTCTTGTAATAAGCAGTCTATAAAAATGTCAGCCCATCCCTTTATCTCCAAAATCAACATTTTTAATCAAATGCTTTAAAATACATTTCAATAACTACATAATGATAAATATGTGATATGGTGTGCTGTAATATCAATTCTCTTAACTACCTTTTGAACTAGTATATGACAAGTTTCTTTTCTTCTAATCACGACATCTCTGAACTACATTCTTTCAGGAAAATTGATTTAAAGAAGAGGCGGGAAGAATTCATTTTGTACATTGGTTCATTTAGTTATATACTGATTAAATCGTGTAATTACGAAAATTATCAAACTGAACAGTGATCGATTGGACACGAAATTACCAACAATTAGCCGATACGATAAATATGCATTAAAATAGAAAAAATGAAGTCCACACTGAATTAACATGACAAACCATATTTGAAATCAATATTGAGTTTCCTTCTTTTAAATTGTATCTGAGATCTTACACCCTCAGTTGTATAAGTCGCTGAAATACTTCGACCGTATAAACGTTCTCCTACATGGACTTCAATCCTTATAGTGTTATATGCGTTACATTAGATTAAGAAGTTATTAGCGACTGTCACCAGTTACAGTTGGTAGGTGTTCTAATCTAAAAATAACCAGCTGAAACTCTTTTTTATCGATTCACATTATTTGTTTTATCATGTTTTTGGCGGGGTAAATACAAATTTTGAGCTTTCATTCTCCCAAACTATTTATTCAGGTTTTCAATTGTTTTGTCGTGTTGTGTACAATTAATGCTATTTATGTAATATTAATTATCTGACTTTTCTATGTTATGTAATAATACTTTATCGATAATTTGATTTTAGCGTCTAATTATTCATCCTTTGGATCTTTCTAAACCGAATGATGTCCGCAATTTTGGAAAACAATTTGCTAATAATAATGATTCACGTCTAGATATTTTGGTAATTAACATTAATTGATGACTAGCTTCATTATTTCCATTTTGCTTTGTAATTTTTTTTTAAACTGTGTTCTTTGTCACTGTATATATTCCATTTGTCTAATTGGCTACATCACTACATTAAATATGATATATGTGATTGAAATAGTTTTTTTTTCCTTCTAAATAGAAATTGATTAAGTTGTGTTATTATAATTTTGTTCAAATTTTTCGTTGAATAAAGATAATATCACGTACAAATAATTTACAGTTAAATTAACTTTATTTCTAAGTCTTTCATAAATATCTATGTCTATGAATGTACTGTTTCAGTTAACTATTCAGAATTGTAAATTTTATTCCCATACCTCAGAGATATTTTAAATCAACTCTATTATATCCTTATTTAAGTTCATAACCTTAGTTGGAAATTAGAGTGTAATACTGTCAACAGGACAGATAATTAAAAATCGGGGAAAAAAATAAGTAAAAAAGAGACTCAAATAAAATGTAAAAAGACTCCATCTGTAAAACATTTCAAAATCTTAGTTGTGAAGACTTTAGATACTATGTATTCTCAATCATATTAAATGTAACTAGAAAATTATATACTTCTTTCGTAGGTCTAAAATCCACATTGATTTTATAATTTGTTTCTATATCTCACAATAGTTTTTCCATAACTCTGTTGACCGTATTTCCGAACATTAGACGTAAATATAAATTATAGTTAATTACAGGTAGCACATGTGCTACCAGTTGTATAAAAAACAGAATCCACCACTGTGTATCAATTAAAAAGTGTATTAATGCTTCATCATGTATTGATTTCTAATCGGTATCTGTTCTTTACGAGGAGATATTCTCGAATTCCTAAATAATCAATGACATTTAATTTGACTGCATCTACGTTCTGATTATGTTACGACAATATTTTCTCACTATACCATCATTCGACTGTAGTTGGAAATATCAGTCGAAAAGTTCGACTATGCATGACTATATTTGTTAAGATTAGGCGAATAGATGAGAATTTAAAACTGTGAAAGATAATCTTTGATAAGCGTATTTTTAGTGTCAATTTATTAAAAATTGGTACATGTTACTTTCATATTGTCCTAATTTTTAACCTTTATTTCATTCATTAACTGTTGCTACATCTAATATGTCCGCGAACTAACCAAATTATTTGCAACTCCGATTTTAATGCAGCAAATTAAACTGATTCTGTCTTCATCCCTGCTCGCTAAATGAAGTAAGAAATCCAGATTATGTAGAAGATTTCTTAATAACGACTCCAGTAGGATTGGTTTTTATATAGAGAATTGGCATGCTTATATTATGAAATACTAACATAAACATGGTAAAATGACATAGGCAACTAGAAGGAATTAGTTTGTAGGTCATTTAGCCTCTAACCTATAATTGTTATACCTAGCCTCAAGGCTCGTATTAACATACTTTTCTGCTCATAAATTATCGTAATTGACCATAAACGTCCTAGTTATGTATGTATTGAGTTTGAATAATCATGATATTTTGTCTATATCATGAGGCGAGTCTTGGATTCATTTAGTTGGCTTTCTGGTGTTTTGTTTGGTAGTTCTGAGATCTGGTAGACGATAACTGAGTTTATGGAACTAAAGTTAACAACAGATAAAACAGCGGAACTTGAAGATATTTACCGAAAGATCTGATAACTTTCGGTTTCGTTTTACTTTCCGTGATTATTTTTCAGTGTTGAAGAACTCATATCAATAGGTATAGTTTCACCATATGGTTGTTCAGTTGTCGGTAGTTGTTACTCATGGATTTGGTTACCTTCGTGTTTATCAGATTTCGTAGACCACATGACTGATTCACAGTTGTAGTTCACAACCAGTCCATTTTTATCAACCTATGAATTTTTTTATTTTAAATGCTTAATCTTTGTTTTATCCATTAATTTGTTACCTCATAATTGCTGTTTGCTTTCATTTATCTATCCTAAACTACTATAGATTAATAATGCTGGCTGCATGATTAATGAATATAAAACTGATGAAAATGGGATAGAAGCTAATTTCGCCACAAATACACTTGGTACTTATATACTTACTGAAAGTCTAATACCTGCATTAAAAAAATCACCTGATGTAAGTATGAACAATAATTTGATAACATCTTGTGGTTTATAGTTTACGAAGAATGATTAGCTTTAAATCGTAACTGTAACTTAGTCAAGTAATTTCCCAACTAAATTGTCTAACGTTATATCAGTCCAAATATTTCGTTGATATAAACAGTCATGCTATTGAATTAATAAGTTTACAATGTGATCGGTTTTTGAAGTCGGTAGTGTATATATCGGTTTCAGGCGACTGTTACAGAATCTATATTAAAATATGTATTGTATTGATAATTCACTTTGTCTCAATACTGAATATTAACTGTTATCAAATACGTAATGACTTTATAAGTCAAATATTGCAGTTTTAGATGTCTAGGTAGGTTACTACTAAACTACTCACCAAATCTAATCTCTATTTTTCTTAAATAAATCACTTATTGGTGTTTTTTGTCTGTTTGTTAGTTTTCATGTATATCTTGCACCTATGTTTTTATTACACGTTGGGCATGAAATAAAGTTAACCAATGTCATGTATATCAGGTACTTCCTAGTTAAGATCAAATCCTATCGATCAAGTTGCAATGTGGCACTATGTTGAGATAAGATGGTTGTTGGATCTAGTCAACAGGAAACCCTGGACCTAGGTTTCGTGCTGCTTGGCACTTGTCAGCACGTTGTACCAGTAATCTCGAGGAAATTGACCGTTAGGATTCGATCTGCATTAAGAAGCACCTGACATACATGACATTAATCACCAGGCAATGATCAGTCAATTGTAAAGACATCTCAGTCCTACGGGTGGTCAGTTGCGGCCCGGACAGCTCAGTGATAACGTCTCTGACTGTAAAGCTGAGTGACACGGGATCGAATCCGTTAGGTAGCTTCAGTTCCCTAAAGCTTACGGGTATGCCTTGCTGACAATTGCCAAGTAGCATGGGACCTATCTCCAGGGTTTCTTGTCGACTACTACCAACCACCATCTTACGAAATAAAGTACACACATTAATTTACCAATGATTATTCATTATATACCTATCAACATAAAAATCATGTAAAAGAAAATCAGAATAATAAACTGAAATATAAATTAGCTACTTATTAAATACGTAGAATGAACTTTCATAAAATGTAAAAAGGAACGAATGACAATGTTACAAGCATTAATATAAGACAAACGGAAAAATATCTTAAAAATCATATGGACAGAACTTTGAATGCTTTACATATTCTTTACAAAAAACTCACTGGGATCTTATTAGCTACTGTTAAAATTCCAATATTTCATTGAATTCAATGGATCTCAAGATTTTATTTTAAACATACTGAAATGGCAAAAATACTATGCCGACATTTAGACATGCTAGTGATGTTGTTACTTAACTATTTTACAGTACTTCATGACAATGGAGCTACATTATATATTTAGAAATTTCAACAGAATATATTGTGTGTTAGGCTTACTTTCATTGGTTAGATAGAAAGTATTTTATTTTGTCATCTAATTGTAATCTTAATGATTTGAACTGATTTTTTCAACTAACATAATTACTTTTATAAACAGTAAACCTTCTGGTAAAGTCAGCTAGTTATTGGATCAAATAAGTCTGGTCATTCATATGAGCTACATTTTTTTATAATATCCAGTCGATCGGAAATAAATTTAATATATACTACTTATGCCTGTTTCCCCTCGTGGAGAAGCATAGGCCGCCCACTGACACCCTCCATCGAACTCTGTCTCAGGCAATCCTTTATACTTGTTTCCATTTGCTATTCACCCTTTCGATGTATACTTTCACTTCCCGACGCATTGTGTTCGTTGGTCTTTCTCTTTTCCTCCACCTGTAGCTCTTCTAGAGCTACTGTTGGTTCTAAGTCCTGGTTAAGAAGGAACGTCGGGCATAGGGTCAACAACTCCATCTCATGGAACAAAACGTTGCTAAAAACCTACCAGAATACCTGAATATATAGTCAGTGACAAAATTTTATTAATGGTAATGATCAATATTTGAGCTGAAATATCAACTTGTTAGTAGTTTTTCATTCTATTTATTTAACATTTATAAAATACACATATGTAATTCTTCTCTTTTTTACTGTTAACACTTCTCACCTATCGTATATAGGCTCGTGTTATTACTGTTAGCTCAGGTGGAATGTTAGTACAGAAATTGGATCATGCTGATCCAATGCTTACAACTAAGCATAACAAATTTGATGGAACAATGATTTATGCACAAAATAAACGTCAACAAGTTGTTATGACTGAAATGTGGTCTAAAAACTATCCAGAAATATTCTTCTGTTCAATGCATCCTGGCTGGGCTGATACACCAGTAAGTGTTAGTGGCATTATAGTTTTTATTAATTCTGATAAAAAGTAATCGAATAGCAAGTTGCTAAGCGTTTATTTATTGTTCTTTCACATAAATGTAAACGACAATCATCCGTTTAACTATGACTAGATGTTCTCTTTCTATACGAGAGATCTCATTTAGTATGACTTAGGCTACCGTATAGTAAAGAAAAACTTGACTGATTTCATTCAGAAACTTCCAAATTTTCCTGCAGCCTAGATATTACCCAACAGGTGTTTCCTAGTTCTGTTATTACTCACTATTTTAATTCTTTAGATAAAGCTGATTACGATCTCGTGGGTAATGTGGTTCCCTTAAAGGTCTTAAATATTTTTAGCTGTTTTGTAAATAATATATTACGAAATTTTATATCAGCGCTTATTATCCATAACTAGGACTTATCCACATCTTTTGTGTGATTTCATTCTGTGACCACTTTTTTCTCTGTACTTCTTTAGATATTCTCTTTTTTAAATATATAATTTCAGGCTGTTGCACTGTCTATGCCATCATTTTACAGTAAAATGAAAAATAAACTAAGAACACCAGAACAAGGTGCAGATACAGCAATCTGGTTAGCTGCGGTACCAAATGTGAGAAGATTCCAAAACGGTTCTTTCTTCCAAGGTTATTTTTAGCAAATATCTTTTTTTTTCAAGTATAACTCAAAACATGGTTGTTCTTGTTTTCTTCATAGTCATCGTCATCAATGAAATTTTAGTGCATAAATTGTCACATTCGGTACTTTAAAGCTAGGCATAGGCTTTCTAACCCATTCCTTATCCCCGAAAATCTGCAATTAATCTCTAAAGTGAACAAAAAAATAGAAAGTATGAGAAGACTCTTCACTTATAAGGTTTTTTCAGGTACAAAACAAGGATATTTTTGAGTTTATATGGGTCATTGATTGTTTAAAAGTTCCTAGAAACATGCTGAAATCAGTGACGAAAGCAGTTGCTACTGAATAAAGATATAACATAATCCGTCTTTTTTCTCTAGGACTTCAGAAAGTTTCTATTAACCCTTATTTGTACAACGTGTTTAAAGCCTTTTTGCAGCTTATGAAGACTTTGGTGAAAATAATTATGGATTGTTAATTGAGCTATGTATTAGTGTGTTTTAGTTGTGAGTCCGCAATATGTGAAAATGAAAGTTTTAGTTCTTTAGTACTTTTTTTAACTACAAATTGATATTCATTGAAATTAACTTTTTGAATATCTACATCGCAAAATATTTATATTTTACAAATATGAATACTCTTAATATATAACCTTTGAATATCATGAAAGTCAGTCTTTAATCCAATGTATACGGCTTTGCTGACTGACATATTCATTCACTGTATTTTTTCATACGTATTACTGTTTCATACTTGTAGTCGATTATTCTCACTATTGCTCATTGACGTACACTTCAAATGAATTTTATTCTTAAGTTATTTAACGTGTGAATTTTATCAAAAGTCAATATTTAGCATTTCGATATATATATATATATATATATATATATATATATATATATATATATATATATAATGATAAAAAACTGTAATCATTGTGTTCTCTCATTTTTCAGATCGCCAAGTAGTTAGTCAACACCTAAAATTAGCTTGTACACATTCAAAGGATGATGAGAAACGTAAATTCATGTCTAATTTAGCTGATATTGCAGCACCTTTTCTTAAATAATCTCTACCCTAGTTGGCGAAAGAAAATTATCACCGCTTATAATTGAAACCGATGCGTTTGGTTTTTATTCTTCATGCTGCATAATTATGAGCTATTTTTGTTTTAGTTAGTTTGTCGTTTTTTACTACAACTAATTTATTCTGTGCTTCAATTTAACTTATCACTTTATTTTTTTCTATGTGGATGTGTATTTCAATTCAGGGAGTATATATAGTGTGTTGCTCAATTGTGATATTATATAAATGATCATTTGTCGTTCTTTCTTTTTCCGTAAACTACATAATGTATGAGTTCTACATGACAATAAATAACACTTTCAATACTTACAATTTAGTTTTAAATATTCAATTCAACTTTCTATATAAATTTATATCTCAGGGCTTTTCTTTGACAAATTCTAATGATGTATCATTACTAATTTTCTCAATATATATATATATTTCTTTATAAATGAATTTATATATTTTGAATCCTAAAGATTATTCGCTCACCGTCACTTCCAAATAATACGATCTAAAACTTCCATCCGTCAGTATTCAATTGGAGAAACCAGTTTTCTCATGAACACACCCTCTGTTTATCCGTAAAAATCCCGAACAACATTAAATGCAAACATCCAGAGATTTAGTAATGTTTGGGGAACGTAGTGAACATCGCTGTTTTATTTCAGTGTCAGAATCTAAGAGATCATACACAACATCCAAAGTCTTCCTAATAGGAACATAAGTGAACAAAGAGCAAACAACAAAACTTACCATTAATTTATCTTCTATGGGGATATTAATGTTGATTTTTATGAAGTCATTAGAATTTTTTCCAGTATTTGATTTCACTTATACGGATTATTATTCTTGGTTATGTATCTAGAAAGGCTGTACATTGGTGTTTTTTTATGGTCAACTACAGGCCTTAGTGGGACATCTGTCTTAAGGATTTTCGCAGCCCATAAAATCTACAAAGGTTGATGCTTTTCGGATAGAGATTATTCCAGTTTGTATTTTAAGGTGCGTAGCGTTTTGGTTGTCTCGGCATTTAGCCTACTTGGAATAGCTCTGAATTTGTTGACTATGGTTTTCCTCGCAATATTTATTTGAAAGAAAAGTTGTTTCCATCAGAAGAGTTATTGAAATTTAATATAAAGTAAGTGGAACTATGGTCCCTACATGAAATAAAGAAGTGACCAAATTTTTTAGCTTTTATGTTCTGATACTGACAAAGATGTTTTCGGCCAACTCTAAATCAATTGACTTAAGTTGTTACAACACGACTGCCGAGCGACTTGGTCGGAACCAAGAGATTTTTCACTGACTCTACAGAGTACCTTAGAAAATTGTCACAATCATACTGAGATCTTACAAAGGATAGCATTGCGAAAACGTGGACAGCGGGCAGATGTGTTACCAGTGTCACTTAAGGCTCTCTACTCTTACTGTTTGTCTTTCTTTACGGTAAAAATTTAAAGTGGAGTCGCGGCAACTGACCGTGGATTAAGGAATTATCATAATTAATTTCCATAACATCATACATATAATCTGCACATAATAGAAGCATACGATGATATGATCAATGTACATCAGAGAACTCATTACTACAATTTCTTAGTAAACGTTTCTTGGTATTAAAAAGGGAGAACTTACGAGCGATGTGTTATAAGGGTCGTGAAAACTGTAGAACTCAAAAATTGACGTGAGAAAGACTTTTGACGGATACTTCATATGAAAACCCGAAATCTATTTTAATTCAAATGGCACGGTAAGATATTGTCTGAGACGTTTATCCTTATTACTAGCTAAAATTTCCTCTTAAGCCACATGTTCCAGTTCATGGCGTGTGATCAGTACGTGTTGGGAGTATTTGGCTTTAATGGTAATCGGCAAATCGTTCGAATCTCAGTGACCTGCTTGCTAAATTATTTGCTTGGGTCCTTGTGGTGTTTGAATGAACTAATGACTCCTTTGCACTTGTTGAATGTTTGATTTCGAATTCTAAATACAGTACATTCGTTGGTGCTTGTGTAGTACTTCTTGATTCAATTGAGTTATCCCTGGGATTATTAGTTCATACTATAATTCAATTACTCCTAATTATCATATTGGCGTCGCGATGGAGCCTGCGATGGAACAGTTGGATATTCATTCAACTTCTGAAGCTTTTGAGGACTATTTGGAAAGGTTTGAAATTTGGAGCATGACCAAGAAGGATGTTAAAGGTGATAAAATTGTGGCACATTTCCTGACATTCATCGGAAAAGAAGCATACAGCTTATTGAAAACTTTGGCATATCCAGAAAAACCTATCTCACTTCCTTATGCAACTATTAAGGAGTTATTATTAAATCATGTAAAGTGCACTAGTTTTGAATGCCGTGAAAGGGCGAAATTTTATAAGATGACTCGTCGAAATGACCAAAAGGTTAAGGAATTCATTCTTGAATTGCAGAAACAAGCTGCCAAATGTAATTTTGGTGAGCAACTTCATGTGCAACTGAGAGATCGATTAATTGCAGGAATTAACTTGCCGGGTTTGGAAAGAGAGCTGTTAAGAATGCCGAACTGTTCCTTTCAAGATGCTAGAACTGCGTGTATTAACTACGAGGCAGTGAATAAAGTTGATATTTAGTCGATGAAGATTTCTAATACTTTGCTTAGTCGTCATGATGAAATACAATCTCAGGGTCAATCAAAATTGCGTTCGTTTAACAGTGGTTCCTATTCTCGTGTAAATATGAAAGATATCTCAACAAGGAATTACAAAAGAAATCACAAAGGTGAGACCAAGTTTGGCAAATGTTTATCATGTGGAAAAATTCATTCTCGTAATTCATGTGCATTTCGTAATGCTAAATGTTTTAGATGTGGTAAGATAGAACACATTCAATCAGCATGCAAAGCTACTATTCATATTACTTCAAGTAGTACTAGATCGTGTAATATAGATCCCATAATTTGGCTGTTCCTAATGATCATTTATCTTTGTCTACTGTTTCGAAAGGTAATGCTCATATTCAAAAGCAATTATATACATCGCTTGGTTCATGTCATGACTTTATTGTTGACACAGGCAGTATAGAGTCCATAATTTCATTCAAGAACTTGAAATCTTTAGATCCTTATGTTGTGGTACGACCCACTGAGGTATCAATATTGGGGATTACTGGACACAGACTGCCTATACGAGGATGTTGTGAGTTGCTAATAAGAGATGATAATTCTTCATACATACCTTGTGAATTTTTAGTTAGCGAAACAGGACTGTCATTACTGGGCTTAAGGAATTTGAAAAGGCTTAAAGTGGAGCTGTCTTTCCTAGTTTCTAAAGAAAACAATGATGCTTTACTTAAAGATTTGATAGCCACGTGTGCTAAGTGCAGTGGAGGTATGAAGATTCAGCCTATAAAACTTCAAGTACAGGGTGAACCAGTCTTTCTTAAAAGACGAATAATTCCTTATGGTCTTCTAGAGGCAGTACATAAAACATTAAACGATTTGTGTGCGAAAGGCATAATTGAACCGATCCAGTCCTCAGCATGGGGTACTCCTATTGTTACGCCACTGAAGTCGGATGGCAAAACCCCTAGAATTTGTGGTGACTATGGATAAACACTGAATTCCCGTTTGTTGAAGCAAACGTGCACGACGGTAGAGGCTGAAGATATTCTAAATCGACTTCATGGTTCTAAAGTGTTCTCGAAAGTTGACCTAAAAGATGCTAATCTTCAAATTCGTTTAGATCAATCCTCATCTATTTTGACGACAATTAATACTCCTTTTGGTCTGTTCAAATACAATTTCCTTCCATTTGGTCTAAGTTGTTCTCCAGCTATATTTCAGGAAGTCATAAATAATGTAGTTAGTGATCTTGAGGGCGTTGGAGTTTATCAAGATGATCTCATTGTCCATGGTTCTGATAAGGTAGTTCATGACCAGAGACTTATTGCTTTATTGCGTCGTTTAATTGAGAAGAATATTACAGTGAATCCAAATAAGTGTTCATTTTGTGTATCTAATTTCGAATGTCTTGGATACCTAGTTGATGGTAATGGTTTTAGACCAGATATGAAACGACTAGCTCCACTGACAAATGCACCGTCTCCAAAAAACCTTACGGAACTACGTTCACTAGTAGGTGCTCTTCAATACTATTCCCGTTTTATTCCTAATTTTTCTTGTCGTGCAAATTGTTTATTTAATATTTGACATCCAATACATTTAAATGGGGTGAGGAACAAGAGTCATGCTTACGTAGTCTACTAAAGTTTCTTCAAAGTGATGCTGTTCTTCGAACTTACTCCCCTAGTGTAGTCTGTGCTTATCACTGATGCATCACCTGTGGGTATTGGCGCAGTTTTGGAACAGGAGGGTAGACCAGTTATTTGTGTTTCACGCAAACTTACTGTTACTGAACAAGGTTATTTACAGACTCAGCGAGAAGCATTAGCTGTGTATTGGGCTGTTAAAAGACTCCATAAATATTTATTCGGAAAGAAATTCACTATTGTTACTGATCATGAGGCTTTAAAGTTTATTTATCATCCTGAAAAATCCTTAGCACGTTCCTCAGCTGCTACGGTTCAACGATGGAGTATTGCTTTGAGTGCCTATGACTATACGGTTCAACACAGGAGTGCCAAACAAATTCAACATGTTGACTACATTTCTCGACAGTCATTACAAGATAAACCTGTAAATACTTCAGACTGTTTGTTAGTGCAACCTTTACCAGTGAAACGTCCAGATCTGATTAGAGAAACTCGTAAATACTTTGTATGTATAATTAATGCTATACGGAAAGGTTGGAATGCTAATTTGAAACGTAGATTTCCTATCTATTTTTCAAAGCGGGATGAGCTATCTACTACTCCTGATGGTATTTTGTGTTTAAATGGTCGTGTTGTTATTCCTCCTTCATTTCGTAAATCTGTCCTAGAAGATCTTCATAGTGGACATTTAGGTGTTGAAAAAATGAAGTCATTGGCGAGGCTCACATGTTGGTGGCCAGAGATAAATGCAGATATTTGTCGTACAGCAAACAATTGTGAAAAGTGTCATAAGCTGAAAAATCAGCATTCGAAGTGGACTCCATGGCCAGTATCGTCTGAGGCCTGGCAGAGAATTCATGCAGACTATTGTGGTCCGTTTCTTGGCAAATACTATGCGCTTGTAGTTATTGATTCTTTTTCAAAGTGGCCTGAAGTTTTCTTCACAACTTCACCAAATTCTGACTTCACAATTCAAGCATTAAGAAAGGTGTTTAGTCGAGAAGGGGTTCCAATGGTGTTAGTGAATGATAGCGGCTCTCATTTTGCTGCAGATGCAGTCACTACCTGGTTAAATGGTATAGGGTGCAAACATCTGTTTACTGCTCCCAGACATCCTTGTTCCAATGGTCAGGCAGAAAATTTTGTCAGGACGTTAAAAACTGCCATTGATTCTATTGCTGCCTCAACATTTAATGAGCTGGAGAGGGGAGTAGATACCTTTCTACTGCAATATAGAAATGCCAGACATTCGGTGACGAAAGAGACCGCATCAAAACTATTAAAAGGAAGAATTCTTCGGTCGAATATGAGATGTTTGGAGTCTGCAGAAGTTACGTATTATCGTGGCAATGATCTTCGACCATCCACGGGGATTGTTCTGAAGAATGTCGGGAAATCTATGGTGCGATGTGGTGTTTGAATGAACTAATGACTCCTTTGTACTTGTTGAATGTTTGATTTCGAATTCTAAATACAGTACATTCGTTAGTGCTTGTGTAGTACTTCTTGATTAAATTGTTTTATTTCTTGTTTTCCTGGTTTATACTATAATGCTTCTATTTATCATAGTCCTGGTGATATTTAACCAACCCTACACCCTTTGTATTTTTTAGTTTCGGAATTCTGTCTTATGAATTCTGTTGCCCAAGCTCCCAACTTCGGGGAAAATTCTACGTATTTTGGGGTAGGCGCTATTGTTACTTTGGGGAAATTTTGGTGAAATGGCACAAAAAGCAAAAAATTTCCCCAGACCTGAGGAAATTACCCAAAATTTCCCTGAACGTTGGGGTTTTTCCTTCCATAATGAATAAGTTTTTAGTGATACCTATGTAAATCACATGCATTGGTTCAGAGGGGAAACATTTTATCTTATCCAATGGCAGAGTTTCAAGTGAACTTTTACCACGATGATGAGTAGATTGTGACCTACTACGAAAAATGACATCATTTCTCAATTCGTGTTTACCATTGCGGAAATTCATTCGACCACTCATTCGTATCCCTTAAACATGACATTCCCGTAATAACTTCCTTCGTGTTGCGCAGTCATCAAAATGGTCAAGTACCCAGATACGACGGTAGCATATTGTGCGCCAAGCACTAGGCGTGCGATGTGTCTTTGGTTTTAGTTGGTTAGTCACATCTTGCTTGTCTAACTCGATTAGACTCCCAACCATTCGAGAGAGATCGGGTGCTCTGGTGATCTAAAGTCAATGAACCCCCAAGGATTTTTGGAGACAGTATACAGTTTTCCCAAATATTATCTACGCCTATTTTCTTTTTCATAAAATAGACACTTGTAGTTATATATGGTCAGTCACAACCAGACATGAAATGTTGTCACTAAAAACACACATCTAGATCTTTCGTCGATCATCTGGAGTGTTTTAATCCTGCGACTAACAGATAAATGTGACAGCATAATTGCACTAAAGTTTTGTGCTCAACGAATTGAAAATTACAAAGTTTTTTTTCATGAAAAAATTGTACAATGTACTTTGCCTATTGAAATCCGAAAAATTCGTATGCGAAGCGCGGTATTTCGAGAGCAGGCGGTATCGAAGGACTTGTGACCTCGTGTAGGCAGTTATTCTCTCTATTGAAACCCCTGTTTCTACTTTTAATATCTTTAGCTTAGTGGAACAAAAGTATGTAATAGCTTTTGTGAAAAATTCCTAATTGATGTTTCCATAATTAAATGCATGTGATCTACAAATGTATAATTTATCATTACATCAGTTTTCAAGTGAACAAGACTATCCTGGTTGTTTACAACTCTAATGAAATGTTCCACCTTGTGCTGCAACTTAGGATACTGGTGGCCATGACGGATATGTCTAAAATATAATGATTGAACTGTTTATTTTAGAGTTTGGTAATTTATAAACTGCTTACATTTATAGCTGTTCACTATGTGTTAATTCAGCGTTTTCAGCGAATTTACAAAAATTTAAACATTTTTGAGGTGTATTGGTCGCCTTGATAACGGTTTAAAGTTCACATAGTTTTCTGAATCACACTGCGTGTAGAAGATGTGTTCATTATTTTATTCATTTTTCGTTAAATATGTACTTTTTTAATGCTTCTAGCTGATTAAGATAACGCAGGAGTTACTCATTTTGTGGCCGCAATCGAATCAGATTGACTGCTCGAAGTAATAACCTCCTTAATCATTTGAAACCTTACCAAGTCTAATGAAGAGCGAATTCAGGATAACAAATTAGGTGTCTGACTTCGATGTAGATGCACTGCCGTCTATTTCATTCTCGTTTAGTTTCGATCACACTGACCTTATGGCAACACGAGGTTTTTTTAACGGAGAGGTTCTGTGGATGTAGTCGATACTAAAACGTTAGTTTCGTCCCAGTTAGTGTATCTGAGATTTATGGACTTTATTTGATTTTCAATTGCTAAGACAAATTTTTGGGATATGAAAATGTTAAATTATTATATTTGCAAACTAGTGAACGAAAATTGGGTTTATGTTTTATAAAACTACATCGGTTGTGAAAGTATAGATTTTGGGTTTCGACAGGCGATGTCGAAATCCGATCTGGTTTTAAAATTGATCTCCCCCAACGTTAAAGTGGAACGATTTAACGGTAGTCTAAGTGCCGTTGTCGGTAGATTGTTTACGTACTTTATATTCTACAAACCGAGGTTAGGTAGTCTATTCCTATTGCCTTGCATCCAGAGTTTTTGTTTCTTCGGTGTGTTATCTGTATTAGAACCTTCTGAAAGTAACCTGTCTTTATTGTTTCTCGTTGGTCTAGTTTTTCTTATCTGGAGGTGCATCCTAGAGTATCTAAATATAGCCCCTGCTTTACTAATTAGTTGTGGTGCATTCACTTCACAAATTACAGTAGAGGTCCCATAAGAACCTGTGCTTTTGTATTTAATGCAAGCGGGAAGCTGAAAATGGTTTGCGATATCTTATCAAATGTTCTTTTTAATCTATAATCTACCTGTACATATTTTTGCCTAACCTTTACTTCAAAATACCATGATTTTTGAAGCGTCAAAAGCAGCGAAATTTCAGTGAGCCTTCTTGTTTCTCAGTGGGCAGCAAATTCTACAAACCGAGGACAATATTTACCCTTCTCTGGAAAAAGTTACGTTACTCGATTATATTCCTGTTCTTAAAAAGCATAGTCCACTTTCGACTAATACTCCAGTCGGTTCTCTTATCTTCTACAAAGCTCTGTAGCTTGTTTTCACGACTTTGGTCTACTGCGGACCAGGACTAACCAGGTTTCTACTGGGAAGACTATGATAGCATTTGATAAAAAGATTATTGCAGTGTTAGCTATTTGCAAGAGTCAGTGGATAATGTTTCTGTCTTACGTAGTCTCCGTAAGAAAGTAATAAATCAAGGGTAAAAAGTGTCTAGAAGCTTATTTTCGTTACAATTCGATCTTAAGCAGCTAAAGACTTTATTTCTCTGTGTATTGCAAAAAGTCCTGTGGAGTAGCACTCTGTGTATAGCTACTATGTTGCAATATACCAGAGTAGTAGAATTAATATCAGCAGCAGTATAATATATTAGGTATAGAAAGAAGAAACATAAAAATATAGGGGGGTTTCGGTCCAAATGATCTAAAGAGAGATAACATGTAAGTTATTCTCAATCACGTCACTCAGAGCGGTCGTCGTGCACATTTGAAGTGGGTAGTCTAAACTTACGTATATGGTCCAGTTCAACTACCCGTGACTTCATTAAATTATCCAATACTAAACACAATGATATTAACATTGGAATACAAATTACATTAAAATCTTACCGAGTAAATTCGGTCCTCTTCAGTTTTTCACACCTATGTTCTCAATAAGGTAGCTGACTTGTACGCCATTGTTAACTTTATTGTAGGGAAGTACTACTGATGACTGGGATCGATAGAAATAAGTAATCTTGGTCACTTATTTTTGACTGCAACAATATCAAAATAATCTAGACGTAAACGAGTTGATTGATTAGGTTTTGCAGTGTTGGGGACAAATAGTTATTTTCAACAAATTCACCAACCGTTACTTGGGTTCTGAAAAAAATAACCGCTCCAAGCATTCAACTACAATAAAATTCAGTGTACATGATCGTAGTTTAAGCAGTACTTCTTGAAAACTGAAGGGTACAAAGTATAGCGTTCAGTACTACGTCACACCTGCATGGATTATTCTGGCTTTTGAACAGACCAACTAGTTTTTTTTTGAGTCATTATCCACACATGTTATGACCTTGTCGCTCATTCACTTACAACTTTGACCGTTTTTAATGATTGTAAGTAAAATAACATGTTAAGTGTTTTTGTTTTACAAATGTACATTCACTTTACTAACTGCTATTAATTCCTGATTTTGTATTATTCTTTAGATGAATCCTCATCGATTTTTGTGTCGTGTTTGTAATATATGGTGTGACACTGAGAATGTCCTACGAGCGCATGAAACGGGGAGAAAACATCGCTCTAAATGTCTTGCTTTAGACAGTTTAAACATAGGGGATCATATTAATTATCCTCTAAAAATTTCCTTACCAACACTGGTTACTCCTGATTCGGGCTCGCCGAAGGATTCTATCTTAGATACCAGCTCTTATTCTGCAGGGCCAATAAGAAATCCAATCTGTGATCAAGAATCGTCTTTATATGTAGGTTTCATTGATTAGTTCAAATTGGACAAAGTCAAACCAGTTATCTTCAGCTTCCGAAGTCTCTTTTACCTGCAACTTATGCGGTGTACATATGAATTCTTCAGATCAATATACTTCTCACCTTCGTGGTCGCAAACATCAAAGTAAAATAAATCTTAATCCAGTTTCTAGTCTGTCTTCAAGCGATCCAGCAGTAAGATATAGCACAACTTGTTTTTATTCGTTTGCATCTTTTCTGTTTCGGGTATGAATAAAATAAATCACACTAATAAATAAATAAATTCTCTAAGTTAGTAATGAAATTAAAACTGTATCTTGGTTTTGACTCCTAACACCCCACATCAGCACAACCAGATAGGAAATGACAAGCATAGAAAAAGTATTGATACATTAAGTGGAAAATTAGAAACAAAAAATGTGGTTCAAGAGGAAGATATATGATGAGTTCAGCTGTGATCTATGGAACCCGTCTTCTACCACAGATTATGGGTATTTCGCGTGACAGTTTTAGGAAGTCTACGTCTACGTTCGACCCAAACCGACATTCAAGAGATTAATTCCATGTCTTGGTACTACCACCCATAGGTTTTTAACCTATTCTTACTCCAATTAATGCTGAGAAATCCGTGAATTTGTTAAATAATTTATTACTCATGTTGACAAATTAACATATAGAATTTGGTGGTTCATAAAAAACTGAATAAATTCGAAAGCACTATCTTATATCATGGACTTACAGTGGTGTATTAGTGCGATGAAGTTTTATAATATCGTTAGTTCGGATTTTTAGAACTGACAAATTTTCACCGATTGTTTATATGACTGGTTCTCTGGGCTATTGATCTCGTTGATTTTATCTCCCTATGCTGATTTGAGTTGTGACAACTTAGAGCAATAGATATCTGCACAAGATTCTACGTTAGTTGTAACTGACTGAAGTACAAGTTCGTATACTGAAATCGGAACCATACTTTGTATATATATATACACTGATACGGTTGAGGGTAGAGTTAGCTTTACCTCTCCAAATGCTCTCACATGGCCACGCGTATACAGCCACTGCCAGGGAACTCCTACTCACTGTCTTCTCGTGACGATGGTGTTGTTCACAAAATTGAGAGGACGAAAAGCAAACGTCCGGCGTCTTAACCGGGTTGGTGGACACGCAGAGTATTCAGTGCCCCTTTGTACCAATATTTGTGTTCAAATAAATAATAACTAGTCTACGGTACCTGAGGAAATAAAGCCACCGCGTATTAGTCGGCTAAGTTAACAAATCTTAATATCACCGTAGCTCTATACTCTGGTTGAAACGCTTACTTATTTTCTTAGCTAGCGTGTTCGCTCTTTGTCTCATCTGTTTCGCAATCAGCACTGTTTTTTAGTTGCTGTACTATACCAAACCCACATAGGTTATTTTAGCTTCTGGACAGGTTAATTTATCCATTCTTCTCAAGCCACATTTTGAGCTTGTCAATTATTCACTTATCAACCCTAACTGTTTTCATATGATCGTATGTGTGTAAATTACTTGTCCTATTCATTACTTGTCTGTAATCAATTTTTGTCTGAATATAGATATTAGGTAAAGCTTTATCAAATGGAGTTGTCTCACTGCAAGTCATCTCGTTTTGTTCCGCTGTTTTCTTTTCGCTTCGTTTCTCTGGTCGTCTATCTGGATCAACGGTTTTATAAAATATATGCATTCAAAAGTTATCCTCGTATTTGACTTATATAATTCCGTTATTCATTAACGCGATCATTATATACGAGGGTCGCCGGATGCATATTTCGGTAGCAATCAGCATGCGATCTTACTGGAGTCGGATGTAGTGCCACTAAAGTTTGTTCATATATCTGGATGCTTTGGGACTTATTTAATTCTAACTGCATCATTCACTAAACAGCGTTTTTTTCCCGAAAAATTATTCACACCAATAATCTTGATCTTTAATGGATATCTTTCACAGTATGCAGTTTCTCAATATATTTTAGATGTCACCATCAAGTGACGAAAGCTCAACTTCTGTTTTTTATCAGTGCAATATTTGTCAATTTGTAATATTCAGTTCAATGAAACTGAAACATTTGGAGTCAGAAGAGCACCAACTGAATGTTCGCAAGTTAAAAGAAAAATCAGTATCATCAAGTCCTTTTGTAGACAACTCTCACCTACGTAAATTTAAACGATCTTGTCGAGAGGTCTTAGTACCCGTATATGGATCAATTAAGTTCACATCTGCTGAGGTGAGTTAATGTGCCATGGTATGTTTGCTTACAAATTCAAAGAAATTTTGGTTGAACACTTCAAGTTTCAGTTTCTAAAGGCATTGAGTAATATTATATGTGTAGTACGTGCAACCATTGATTTATCAGTCAGTTTTTGGGTTGGGCGTACGGTACTAGTCAGAGACTGTAAAGTGGTCGATCATATAGTGAGTATTTGTAGAACAGAGCGATTAGATATCTGTTAGGCTTGTGTAATTACTACCTTCTCCCACATACTGTACTGGCTAGCATGGAAATAAGTAGCAGGTCTAGCGACACTCAGACGAAGATATGACAGTCTGTCGTTCATTATCAACGTAGAGCTTGGCATAGTTGTTTTTTGACCCATGTTGGCATACCACATTAGCACAAAGCGATGAAATTAGCAAGGTGTATGAGAAATGAGACTGTAATTATGTAGAACTGACAATTAAGAGGACTAACCATTAAGAAAACGGTCCAAAAAATCAGAGTAGAGAGGTATGTATAAAGGAGTACTAAAATTTAATATTGATAGAAAGATAAAGAGTAAGTACATCTTTGCCATTGCGAACAATTATAAGTCATGTCACCCAAAGTCTCCAGCCACTGATCTCAGTTATTGCATGGCCCCCGGCCAAGTTGCTTTCATTTACCATCATGGATTAGACCAACAATCATTGACTTTATGGATCGATTCCAGTCAGGATCTGATAGCTCCCAACTTTCTTCCAACCTACTCCTACACCAAGAAAGACCTGTCAAGGTGATCGGTGAATAAGCTTAGGTGATGCATGTCGTAACCACCTCAATTGATAAAGGTTCACCTTATCAACTGATTCGCCACCCTTGCCTAGTGTCCCATGCCTAACCTTGAAATTACTCACTTGATAGTGCCAGTAATGTTTTAGCTTTAAAAGGACATCAACAAGTTAAATAAAAATGGAGATAGTGGACGATCACTAATGAACTGCACTTGAGATTGACAGTTTGTCTTAAGTTCTGACTTAACTGATAATGTCTTGGTAAATAATCTCCACACAACTTTTATCCTTCTTTAATACACTTTTCAATCACAAACAAGACCACAAAACCTGACAACTGAGTCGAAAGTTACCGAAATGTCAAGTGTCGGTAAGTGTGCGTATGTTCTAAGATCTAACGAAGAGTGAATATTTGGTCAATGCATCCATAACCTGGCCTGGAACTAAACTGTTTTTTCCGGATTTACGTCGAATGATTTTAGATCTTAGTACTGTTGACACTATATAGGCCACAAGTCCCCTGATTATCACAAGACGATTTTAGTTCTTTCATCTGAACTAAAACTGATGCATTAAAAATCTGCGATGTTTATCTATTTGAATCCGCTGCTCTCACTCCTTTTAAATTGTCTAGAATCTAACAAGTGTATTTAATGCCTGTTTCCTTGATGAGTCGATCTAGCTATTTATTGCTACCTATCACCGATGCCTTTTCCATCTTTGACATTGACTGACCACAACTGCTAACGATCATAAACCTTTTGTTAAAATACGTGTACGTTGTCGCCCTTCATCGCCTCACAGGATAAATTTTCAAGTTTCTATCGATTCAATAGACTCAGCCGAAATTCACTGATCTATTCTAACCTTTGAATTTGAGTTGTTTATAGATGTGGTTGTCGTATAAACAGCTACTCAGATATCGTTTGACCCAGATATAAGTCGCAGCACGTGTCAAATCCCCATTCTGGTTGCTTGGAAATAATGAGTAACTGGAGGGTATCTGGAGTTCCGTTGAACTGATCGTCATGGTTTTGTTCATCGTTATAATCTCTTGAACTGAGAGTAGATCATGGTTCCATCTTCTTTAATCTCACTAACTATTGATTTTTTATAAGCTGTTTTATTGATGAGTCGGTATAGTTGTCCAGTATTACCTATCACAATTGTCTTTTCCATCTATCTTGCTTTCATTGGTGAGTCGTCCTTACGATCATTAGTTTTCGTTTAATTTGTCTTCCCTCTTCATTTTTCTCATAATTCGATGAATTCATGCACAATCATTTATCCAGTAGGAGTATCGTTTCAAGCTTCTTTGAGATGAAACTTTTTCCTATAATCGACTAAATGCCTAGTTAATTTTCTCATCACTCCATTATCAAACGTTTCGCTGGTGTTCGATCACATAAATAGCAAGCACTCGAAAATGAACAATGTTTATATTTGGTAGTGCCATTGAGCAGAACTTTACTCATAATCAGATGTAAAAATCCTGCTGCATTTATCAGAAGTCTACACTGATCTGATGTGATTTAATGGTGTGTTTTTTCGCAGGTGAACGAGGTTATTTGCTAGTTCACTTCACAGAAAGCAAAGCACTGTGTTAAAAAGGTTTTCTTTAAACGAAAACTTTCAGAAAGCTGTCTCGTGAATTATCACTTAACATTGGCACCCGCCAGTAATATAAAATCTCGTTTTTGTTTCGTGTCAATGATTCGATCTCACCTTCACAAATAATCCTGACGCCAATCTTTTACGTAAATATCTGTAACTAATATAAGGGATGTGTCGCATGTACAGGCGACCTTTGTCAGTTTTCTAAACATTTTAGTATGTGGTGAATTTCAAATAAATAGACTAGTAACGGATAATAGCGTAGTGCATCTCGCGTATCGATCAAACCGTAATGATATTAACCTTGCTTGAAAATATCTCAAGCAAATAGACCACAAATCCGTAAGTGTTTGTGTACGTAGAGAATTTAATGCAGAATTTGTCTAATCTTTCCCCGTAAATTTGACTAGTGTCTCCATATGTACCTTATATGAAGAAACAAATACCGAAATGCATAAACAGTCTTTGAATACCTATCAACACTATTGTTAAGTGAGAAGATCGATTATTAGAATGAAATCAAGCTCAGATTAATTATTTATTACCAATGTCCGCTTTGCTCATTTAACAGTTCGATATAAAAGTGATTTGTTGTGAAACGAAAAAGTGATTAGGATGTTGAGTTGTCGAACGTTTTAGGGCTTCGAATAGTGTTTCTATGCGATCGAATTATTGCATTACATATTTCTCATGATCAATAGGTAGTTGCTACATTTGTCGTATTCATTATTATAGGCTAAGCTTCTGGAGGATTCAGCGAAAGGAGATCAAGATTGTGTTTTGTTGTTGGATTCATTTGACGGTCGAGATCGTATTGCAATACATCTGGCAAATGCATTACTAATAGCTAATAAAAATCTATCAACTATCGACTCGTCAAGCCCTTCTGCTCCTACCTGGGTAGTATAGAATATACTTTATGTAGACATCCCCAACTGGTTGGAACACAGTTTGAATACCAAGGGGAGTGAAAGACAATCTCATACCTTAGGACTAAATTACGAATTAACAAAATTAAGCAAGAATGATAACTTTCGAAACTAGGAAAACCCTTCATTCTCAACATTAAGCAGAGTTCAAATAAGTTAACAAATGTAAACTTTCACCAATAAGCCACCAAAACTAAAGAAACACATGCTGATATTTATAGTAGGCAGAAAATATCTTACAATTCTATAGGATTCATAGTTTTTTATTCACAATTGTAGATACCTATCTTTCCAAAATAAGAATACCATTTTAAATATTACCATGGAATTCACACTGAGGTACTTTTAGAAACACACTTACTGAGATCTGAACACAGAAATCGAGTTAGATGAGGAACTTTCTGATTTGGGTAGAACCCATATTACCCAAGTAGGAGCAGAAGGGCTTGACGAGTCGATAGTTGATAGATTTTTATTAGCTATTAGTAATGCATTTGCCAGATGTATTGCAATACGATCTCGACCGTCAAATGAATCCAACAACAAAACACAATCTTGATCTCCTTTCGCTGAATTCTCCAGAAGCTTAGCCTATAATAATGAATACGACAAATGTAGAAACTACCTATTGATCATGAGAAATATGTAATGCAATAATTCGATCGCATAGAAACACTATTCGAAGTCCTAAAACGTTCGACAACTCAACATCCTAATCACTTTTTCGTTTCACAACAAATCACTTTTATATCGAACTGTTAAATGAGCAAAGCGGACATTGGTAATAAATAATTAATCTGAGCTTGATTTCATTCTAATAATCGATCTTCTCACTTAACAATAGTGTTGATAGGTATTCAAAGACTGTTTATGCATTTCGGTATTTGTTTCTTCATATAAGGTACATATGGAGACACTAGTCAAATTTACGGGGAAAGATTAGACAAATTCTGCATTAAATTCTCTACGTACACAAACACTTACGGATTTGTGGTCTATTTGCTTGAGATATTTTCAAGCAAGGTTAATATCATTACGGTTTGATCGATACGCGAGATGCACTACGCTATTATCCGTTACTAGTCTATTTATTTGAAATTCACCACATACTAAAATGTTTAGAAAACTGACAAAGGTCGCCTGTACATGCGACACATCCCTTATATTAGTTACAGATATTTACGTAAAAGATTGGCGTCAGGATTATTTGTGAAGGTGAGATCGAATCATTGACACGAAACAAAAACGAGATTTTATATTACTGGCGGGTGCCAATGTTAAGTGATAATTCACGAGACAGCTTTCTGAAAGTTTTCGTTTAAAGAAAACCTTTTTAACACAGTGCTTTGCTTTCTGTGAAGTGAACTAGCAAATAACCTCGTTCACCTGCGAAAAAACACCATTAAATCACATCAGATCAGTGTAGACTTCTGATAAATGCAGCAGGATTTTTACATCTGATTATGAGTAAAGTTCTGCTCAATGGCACTACCAAATATAAACATTGTTCATTTTCGAGTGCTTGCTATTTATGTGATCGAACACCAGCGAAACGTTTGATAATGGAGTGATGAGAAAATTAACTAGGCATTTAGTCGATTATAGGAAAAAGTTTCATCTCAAAGAAGCTTGAAACGATACTCCTACTGGATAAATGATTGTGCATGAATTCATCGAATTATGAGAAAAATGAAGAGGGAAGACAAATTAAACGAAAACTAATGATCGTAAGGACGACTCACCAATGAAAGCAAGATAGATGGAAAAGACAATTGTGATAGGTAATACTGGACAACTATACCGACTCATCAATAAAACAGCTTATAAAAAATCAATAGTTAGTGAGATTAAAGAAGATGGAACCATGATCTACTCTCAGTTCAAGAGATTATAACGATGAACAAAACCATGACGATCAGTTCAACGGAACTCCAGATACCCTCCAGTTACTCATTATTTCCAAGCAACCAGAATGGGGATTTGACACGTGCAGCAACGTCCATCTAGGCCAAAATATTCATATAGAGTTTGAAAAGAGGCACAGAAGGGTCCACCAGGTTTTGGAAATTTATTTTAATGAAGAATACTTTAGTTTTAGCAGTTATGTTTCCTACTATATTTTCTAGAGTTTGAAAGTCAAATTCCATTGTTTTTCTATGCGATCGAATTATTGCATTACATATTTCTCATGATCAATAGGTAGTTTCTACATTTGTCGTATTCATTATTATAGGCTAAGCTTCTGGAGAATTCAGCGAAAGGAGATCAAGATTGTGTTTTGTTGTTGGATTCATTTGACGGTCGAGATCGTATTGCAATACATCTGGCAAACGCATTACTAATAGCTAATAAAAATCTATCAACTATCGACTCGTCAAGCCCTTCTGCTCCTACTTGGGTAATATGGGTTCTACCCAAAACAGAAAGTTCCTCATCTAACTCGATTTCTGTGTTCAGATCTCAGTAAGTGTGTTTCTAAAAGTACCTCAGTGTGAATTCCATGGTAATATTTAAAATGGTATTCTTATTTTGGAAAGATAGGTATCTACATTTGTGAATAAAAAACTATGAATCCTATAGAATTGTAAGATATTTTCTGCCTACTGTTGTGTTATTATGGCCTGCTAGTTTTCACGTAATCTATTCGCCGATGAAAATACGACCTATTCGCTCTTATACTGTACTAAACCAACGACGCCCGGTCGGTATGATCAGCCTAGCGTCCTATTGGTCCGCTGCTCGCCTAGCCCATCCAGCTGAGTCCGGAATGTCAACAACAGCATCGACTATGCGAATCTTTACTCCAGACATACTGGGTTTTTATACAAACGGCAACGCAGCATAAAATAGAAAATAACATTCATACGCAATAAAGCCAAAAAGTGGCTGTGAACGTATGACGCAGTTGTCAATAAACTGAACATAGCTTAACAACAGTAAATCGTACAATAATAATCAGCAAGTATTTCTTTAGTGTTGGTGGCTTAACAGTAACCCCCGAAATGCCGTGGTACGTTCGAGGTTAAGAAGAGTTAGCTCTACCTCTCTAAATGCTCTCACATGGCCACACGTATACAGCCACTGCCAGGGAACTTGGTGAAAACACTGGTTGTATTCCGATTCCAACTTCTAATTTAATTCTTACTACTCACACCAATCGATAACCCTGTTATGAAACTTGTAAATTGTTAGATTTTCACTGTCTGTAATGTGGCTTACTGGTTGTCCATGAATTAATCTTGACCATAGATTCAGCGATCTCTTGATCTTAGTTCCGTTCTCCTATTCCATGTCATCTTATGGTGCATTTTTCTTCATTGTTATCTGACTCGTTCTTAGCGTTTTGATCCCATGTTAAGATTGTCAAATCCTTTCGACATTCGTCCGGGATAGGTTGCCGTACCACATAAAACAGATTGCTAACCCTTTGTTCAACTTTTCACTTCACTCGGGCTTAGAATCGTCAGTAACCGTCATAGGCTACAGCAGGCGCTAAACCCCAAAACGACCCGAAAATTATGTTGTTTTTTCAAAAGAAAACTGCATAATTACAGAAATGTCGAACATAAAATATTAAAAAATAATGTCTTGCCATTATTACACCCATTATTTTTTACACTTGTCACAAACTCAAGTCTTAACCAAAAGATTTATCACTACCAAGGTTTAACTTGATAATTTTGAATAAAGTGAGCATTGAGTAGATTATTATAAATGAATTAATATATTTGTAATATCTCTATGAGTAGAAAAATTGAATTTTTCTGACGTTTCGTGACTCAATGTAAGCCATTTCTTCAGGGAATAAATAACCAAATCAAAATTAATCTAAGTTTAAATAGTACAAATGAACAACGCAAGAATATTATGTGCGATCAATCAAAAACAGGTCTGAACAAGTCAATGTCGTGTCATTTCGGTCGAGGTGATTTATAAGCGAATGTACGTAAATTTGTGTGTATGTTTGCAAGATCGGGGATGAAAAAATGTGACCTCTGTGGTGAGAAAGGATAGAGTTTAATTTGCATGTACGATAATAGTGTGAAATGTGAATAATATCAGACATGGTAGTTAGAATAGATAGTCAAAGTCGGAGTAGTGATTTCATGATTGGTTAAATTTCTGTCTGAACAATTCTTAGATCGCTAGAACTAGATTTTATGACTGATGTTTTCATCCAATGGTGTTAATGTCTAACCTCAACCAATCCACGAAGTTTCGCAACCACCTTCTGTTGTACTAAGGTAGACACCTGTTTCTACCCGGCTCAGTGGTCCAGTAGTTTAAGTGTTCACGCGCGAAACCGGTAGGTCCTGGGTTCGAATCCCCCGAGCGGGATTGTGGATGCGCACTGCTGAGGAGTCTCACAATAGAACGAAACGGCCGTCCAGTGCTTCCAGGTTTTCAATGGTGGTCTGACATCAATCGGTTCATGATCTCAATCAGCACTCCTAATAATTTTCCTATGAAAATTATTAAATTTTATGATGTTAATTGCATCCTTTTGTCCTTTTTGTTTATGGTCTTCCAGTATGATAATCTCGTTAGCTCTTCTAAAAAGATTTAGGGATAGTGAGATCTTTTCACTGAATGGATGTGCTGAATTGAAGTTAATATAACGATTTGAGTATGTAGAGGTTCTATGTAGATGGATAGATTTAGAATTCCATTATTTAAATTCACCGAAACGCCGTCAAATAAAAAAAATTAAAAAGGTTAAAGAAAAAAAGATGAGAACATCAGTCATAAAATCTAGTTCTAGCGATCTAAGAATTGTTCAGACAGAAATTTAACCAATCATGAAATCACTACTCCGACTTTGACTATCTATTCTAACTACCATGTCTGATATTATTCACATTTCACACTATTATCGTACATGCAAATTAAACTCTATCCTTTCTCACCACAGAGGTCACATTTTTTCATCCCCGATCTTACAAACATACACACAAATTTACGTACATTCGCTTATAAATCACCTCGACCGAAATGACACGACATTGACTTGTTCAGACCTGTTTTTGATTGATCGCACATAATATTCTTGCGTTGTTCATTTGTACTATTTAAACTTAGATTAATTTTGATTTGGTTATTTATTCCCTGAAGAAATGGCTTACATCGAGTCACGAAACGTCAGAAAAATTCAATTTTTCTACTCATAGAGATATTACAAATCTATTAATTTAATTAAAGATTTATCAGTTATACAAGTTATGAATAACTACTAATTATTGATATGCGATGGAGAAGAAAGGGAATTAGTTTTTTCCACTTTTTTATTTTTATTACCACATCCGATATTCATTATCATTCAAATACAATGACAAAAGCCATTCGAATTTAATTATCAAAACTGTGTGCTAAATATGTGTAGGTTCAGTTTCCATGACTATACTTTTCGAAAACTAATCATACATTACCACCTTAGTTGTTATATTTTTGCGCAAGTTACCATTCATCGCACTTTTAACTACTCCAATACAGTCGCTGTCGATTATTTGATAAATTTGATTAAAAAGAATAATCGTTAAATAATGCAGAATGATACGATGCCATCATCGGCTAATAACTTCATAGAAAATAATTACCGGCAATCTCCTTCTCCGAATGAACTAATATCGAAAGTTATGGGTTTCTAGCAAAATTAGTTTCCCCTTTAATAATATCGGATGCTTACTTGCGAAATATTTAATAAAAATATATAATTATTTAATAATCTTACTTATTTACGCCTGTTACTCTTCGTCGTGGAGGGTAGGCCGCCCACCAGCACTCTCCATCCAACCCTGTCCTGGCCAACCCTTTCCAGTTGCTACTTATCCTTTTCATGTCTGCTTCCAATTCCCGACACAGTGTGTTCTTCAGCCTTCCTCTTTTCTGTTTCCCTTCAGGATCGCAGGTTAGCGCTTGCCACATGATGCAGTTTGATGATTTCCATAATGTATGTTCCATCCACTTCCAACTTCTTTTCCAGATTTCCTCTTCAGTTGGAAGCTGGTTTGTCCTCTCCTACAGTACACTGTTCCTGATGTTATCCAGTCAACGTATATTGTGGACAACTATTTATAAATATTTATACCTTCTTGATGATAGTTGTAGTAGTAGTAGTTCTCTACGTTCCTGCTCCGTAGAGTAGGAATGTCTTGCTAAAAAACGCCAACCAGATTAAATTAATAAGCGATTGAGAGATATTGATTTTGTAGATCACCTAGTAAGTAGGATTCTTTCTTTTCTTTTCTCACGTTACATTACTTTTAGGAAAAGCTGACATCATCCACATGTAGCGTAGGACTAAATTTCGTTAGAACGACAAGATAAATAGCAGAAAAGATCGAAATAATATGGTAGCATGGATAATCATAAAGAATGAACATTAAGAATATTGTTCAAAAAAATTGGGAAGGTATTAATGAAGGAATACTGGATTTCAAGGTCAAGAAGAAGATAGAGTGAATGCATCTTTTCTATTTTGAGCTATATCATCCAAAGTCCTCAGCTACTGATCGTGGTTTGTATATGCACTTCAAAATTGTCCATATTTATTCTAATTATAAATTTTGCAGTTTTATTTGAATTCATCATTGTAGTAGAACACGATTTAAATTTATTGCATAGAATATGTTCTATTCACTTATTTATATTTTAATTTATTCAATCGTATTTGACTAACTTCAAATAAATTCTACATTTTTATGTGTTCATGTTGTATGTTAAAGAAAATTTCACCAAGTTTTTATTTTCATTATAGATCAGATAATGACAATGATACATCTCAACGTCCTTTAAAAATTGCTTACTTACCTTGTGATGTAAAAAAATTAACACAAGTTGATTTGATACTTACAACCTCTGGTAGGATTTCTTAATTTGTTTTGCTTTTGTTACCATGATATTATATTATTGTAATAATATTAATACGATCCAATGAATAGCTGTAGGCTCATGAATTCAACTTCGAGCCACACTTTTTTGTATAAACTGGCCAGACATACTGTTTAGTTCTCTCAGTTAGAAATGTAGATGATCATGGTATTGTTATAATTTCTCTTATTTACGACCCAGCTATTCCTATTACTTAGCAGTCTTTGTCACCAATTCACTCGACAATTCCCCAAACCAGAACACAGTTAAACAGGAACGAAATTATATTCCAAATAGCAAGGGTATAACTTCGCCCTTTGATCTTGGGCCTGTTGCTTTTAGTCTTATCGCTCTTCAACAGACCTCTCTGGACCTTGAGGAACAATTGTTCCAGTAAATATAGCCCTATTGATTTATCACGATAGGCAAGCCTGACCACCCTGTCAAGATAGCAGACACGGTCGGGATTGTCAGGTCAGGTAAACGTTGTAACTTGTACGCGCTATCAAATAAGATATCTTATAATTGCCAACAAGTACAATTCCTTTTTTTTCAGAGTAACAGCAAATATCTGATAAAAAGTTGAAAAAGTAAAACTCATAAGAAGCTATTATTCATTGTGACTACAAACTTCTGGATATCCATACATAGAAAGTCCATATTTGTGTTTTATTTTATCATAGTATTTATTTACTTGAATAAATTTCAATCCGTATTAGAGATATTAGTTAAGTGGAATTGTATAAAATACTTCCAGAAATTAGAATCCAGTCAACATTAAATTTATAATTATTCACGAGAGTACACTTGTCCTGTTGATTTTGTCGAAACCACTCACTTCATGTTCAATATTTGCAACAGTTGTTTCAAACTATACAAGGTCAGTTAAAACATCACTCATATCTTTCACTGTAAAACACAACATTAAGCAAAAGGTGTGTATTTATTGTGAGAAGTTACAAAGTATTTATTTAATACATTATATATAGCCTTCAATCTTCTACTTGCATTTTACGGTGTGTTCTGACATCTGAACCGTCTTCTTGTGTGGTCTCCAAGTGTCTCGTCCCCGGCATGCTTTCTATGCACTAAAATTCTTCAATTCATTTGATAATCGTCGCATATTCGACTTCACATTCCGCTACATACTACTTTCAGACAACCTTGTGAGTAGCATTCACTTCGCCACTATCCATACGAAGGAACGTTTTCTCTGGAACGAATAATAACAAGCACTTCATAAAATTGAATTTAACCAGTTTGTGTGTGTAAAAGGAAGTAATTCATTTATTGAAGAATGCACAAGTGATTTATATATTTATGAAAGTATATATCGATATTAAAGATTATATTTCGTTAGGAAGATGATTGTAATCGTTTTCTCATTAACTAATGGACACCCTAAATTCCATAACACAAAAAGCTGTGATTCATTCAAGTAAACAAAATATATTTAATAGTAAAGGACGAGTTGTATTGTTTTACACCTCTTCAACACAGATTTATTTGTTGAGCACTTATCAATTCTACTAATGAAACAAGCATTTGTTTGTGGCATAATTATTCATGATGTCGATGTTGCGTTAAAAAATGAAGAGTTTTGCAAGCTTCTTTATCGTTATCGTCAATATTTCACAAACCAACATAATCGAGGCCGAGTAAGTTGACGAAAAATTACTTAATGTTTATCTATTTTCTTTATTTCCCTTAAAAATTAATGTAGTTAACTGGATAATTCCGTAGATAGTAATTTGCTGTTTCAAATACGAATATCCACTTTTCCATTTTCATTGAGAAAAAAACTCACTGAAATGTAAATATATATTTACTTGACTAAATACGTGATACAATTTAAGTTCCATTCTGTGAAAAAAAATCAGTCAGTCAGCTACAACGTGGGATCAGGCACATATATGCATCTGTCCAAGTTGTCATACCTCATTGGCATAACAAGATGAACACTGGATTCATAAAAGTAGTGGTGGTAATATATAAAAGAAAGATTGCACATAAGGACATAGTACGGGAAGAAAGAATTAGTTCGTAGAAAGAAAGATATAAAGCGATTTTACCTCATAGTTTAAGTGAAGACAAAGAGTGTATACATAGACGCCATTGTGATCGATTCTGAGCCATGTCACGCAGAGTCTCCAACCATTGTTTACGATAGTCACGCGAACCCCAACCAAGTAGTCTTCATCTACCAACATGGCTCAGACCAGAAGTTAGTGACTTTTTTATGGAAAAAAATACTCGGAATTACTTCACTGAGATATTAGTTTGTCAGCCTAAACACCCGAAAAAAATGTTACCGCTGCAATTAATAGCCGATCAATTTAGAAGAGTAGGTTATTTGCGATAACCCCTCATCAGCTAGTTTTCATTGTCAATCCATCTGTATGCTAATCTGAGTCATGTAACAAGAAAAACAAATCAATTATGTAATTTCGAGTTAGGTGAATATTAGTAGTAATGAATAGCCAACAATCAAATTTGGAGTACATTATTAGTTCCTGCTTCGGTTTGGGCACCCGGGCAGTATCACAGCCCTCACACAAATCAATTGAGATTCGTGTGGCGCATATGTACTTGGTGCCTCCTTGTACCTATACCTATGTGTTAAAATAAATAAATAAATAAACATTATTAGTTACTAGTGGTCAGTTAATTCATCTGTCTTTAATTACTTCGTAATTTTTTTGCTCTCTATATATTTGTCTGTGTGCTTCGAATAGTGGAAATCCGTATCATATCTAAACATTATCTTTTCATTTCCATTATTACAGATCATATGTTTTGGTCGAATGAAAGTAGAGGAAGACAGTGTTTTTTCGTCGTTCACACAGTACGGTTAGAAAAAGGAACAAATAAAAAATACATAGAAATGTTTAACAAATTATTTGAATCATAAGAGAATAAATATTTGAACAATATAGATCTGAACCTCTTTTCACTTTGCTACTATTTACAAACTATTATCATCAAACAGATATTTACTAATTACATTTATTTTCCATTTTCTTTTCTACTCGTTTCCCAGAAAAAATAAAATTGTCAAATATTATTGCTTTCATTTTAATCATGTATAGATTTACTTTTTCTCTCATCGTATTTTAAGTGAATATTAACAAATTTTATATGTGGATTAAATAGCATATTTGTTTATCTGACATATTCCAATTTGGTGTTGTATACTACTTATGTCGATATAAGTAGCATACACCACAATAATAGTAGTAGTCTTTTGTCAAATGGATTAGGATCATTTGTTGATTGCTCACTGAGTAAACGTTAAAATGTGAAGAAAAAAGGTTTTGTAGTAGAAAAAATTGGGAAGCATTCGAGGACCGTAATTGAATAAATATGAGTCTGTATTGTTGAACTACTGAATTCTCAGTTGTTCACTTGATTCTGTTTTGAACGCCTTTATTTGGCTTGGTAGGTGGTTTCGATAGAATTATTTTACTCTAGTGATGAAGAATTGTTCGAAAATTAAGTTATTGATTGATATGCAATCTGTTAAAGTTAATACTCAAAGATGTTGTTGGAAAAAGTAGCATGAGGCTAGTATGATCTCTGCAAGCACAAATAACATTATAGAAACACATTTGTGCTGGTCCAAAGAGTTTGTATGTAAATCTACAAATCAGGTACTGAATATGCGGTAATAAGAGAAATAATTCATGGTTGTAAAGTGCCAACTATGATAAACGTAAAAAAGTATAAAGAATAAATAAACAATAGATACTTTTCCATAAATTGTTATTACTACCGATTTGTTACTTCATTATCTTTGGTTGTTCACTCATGTTTACATCTTCAGATTACAAATAACAGTGCATACAGATATATTCACCAATGTATTTTGAAAGAATATGTTGTTTATGGCAGATTACGAATACTGATTACAAACAATTGGAGTTAATGTTGCATCATACCAGTAGAATGCTCAGTACTATGACAACGTAAATAATCATTAGTTTCCGCCTCCTTGAATAATTTTGTCCACTTTCAGTTTAAACTTTTCGTATCCTCATGTAATTTTACTCATCTAACACCTAAATTGCAGTAACCACTTGTGTACATGCTGCGAATATAGACAAGATAAAGGTAATAAGTTGCAGCAATAATTAATTGACAAAAGAACTTAATGTATCTTTACCTTTTTTTCGTTTAGTTCGTTCCTATAAAACAAACAACGAATATTTATTTCAATTGTTGAGACCATGAGTCAATTGAAGCTAGACCACCATGGAAAACCTGGAAACACTAGACGGCTGTCTCGTCCCATTGTGGGACTCCTCAGCAGTACGCACCCACGACCCCGCCTCGCGGGATTCAAACCCAGAACCTATTGGTTTCGCGCCCAAGCACTAGACCACTGAGACGGCATCCAACGGTGTTAATTTCTAACTTCAACTAATCCACGAGATTGAGCGACACATCCACCATTGTCATCAGTGAGTTACTATCTCACAACTGACTTATTTCCTTGTAAAACTGTTGCACCCAACACGAATTTCATGGCAATACCAGGTTGTTTTACATTTTTCTCAGTCGAGAAACTTCCGCAACGATTAGTCCGTTCTTGCATTTCTCCAAACGAGCAATAGGTAACAGAAGCCTTTTAGGGATCGTGACAGGAGGATGCTATCTCAATAAATTTGGAAGAACTAAATGACATGCTTAACAACTTAGACGAAGATGGTCAACCTTACAGACTTTACATGTGTTAACAGAACAGTTAACTTTTTATTTCAGTCTTGACTAAGGAATAAAATATAAGTCCTAGTGCAAATATGCAAGAGTCTATGGTGACTGAGCATATGGTTTAATTTTTCCTCACAGTATTGCCAATATTGTACATGTTGATGCAGAAGTCGTAATAGTTTCATCCTATAGGTAATCTATATTTTCTGATCATTATGACATTGTAAGTAGTCAGAATGTTTGCTCACATTTAAGGAATACTAGTTTGCATCATGTCTTATAAATATAATTCGTAAATGATCAGTTCAACAATTCAATGAACTGATTGTGTTAGAAACTCAGTTGATAACAAATAATACTAGTTTCTTCCAAGTTGCAACCTAAATCATTTCGCATATTATACTCTTCATAGTATTCCGCTTTTACATTATTAATTTATTGATCAATATTTGACCTTTTACTGCATTTTCTTGTTTATTATATGGTGTGACTAAAATATTTGGTTAGTATTGTTAGGTCCATCAACACTGTGATTTCAACTCATTACGTATCGAAATAGCTTTAAAAAATTTATTGTTAAACACCAGTGAAATGGTTTCCAGAAATTTTTTGAAAATATCTGACTTTAAAATCATAAATTTCATAAGAATTCCACATTCAATCAAAATACTTCTCATGGGATTCAACTAACCAGACTTACAATCAATTGAATAGATATTTTAGTTGGAAAAAGTGTGACCATAGATAAACTGAACACATATTACAATAGCACTTAAACATATCACAATTTTTTTAATATTTGTGGTCATGCATTCAAAATTTATCCTTAGTGGTGCAAAAACATACATAGTCAGTTTATAATGTGATAACCTACGCCCTATGTACATCTTCGCTTTTTACGAAAGAACTCTGTAATCGCACAGTAGTTGTAGCTCCGTACAGTAGAACTATCTTGACGTTCGTATTACAGATTCACACTGTGATATTGACTGGTAGTTGTTTTTAGTTCCATACAGTTTTCAACTGTAAGAATCCCGGCCTTATTTTGCTAATTCGTGCCTGCACATTTGTATCAGATCTCCTTGATTCTGAATGATGCTGACCATATACGTAAAAGTTTTGAACCGCTTCCAGAGCTTGCTCATGAAGTGTGAATTCGCTGGTGTTGGCCGTGCTTTATTTTGGGACCTTGCATGTTGAGGCTTAATGATGAAGAAGCTGCTTCTACACTGACTGCACCTGCTTATGGTATAAAAGGTCTAGGTCATCTGCGAAGTCCAAATCGTCTAGTTGCATTCAAGCTGTCCACTGTATTCCGTGCTTCCCCTCAGATGCGGAGATCTTTATATTTCATTCAACAACAAGAAGAGAAAGGGTGGGAGTAAGCAGCCTTGTCTGACACGGCTCCCCACTTGGAATGTATCTACCAGCTGTCCTCGATGAATGAATCTTCGGTGTAGTCCATCATCCAAACTCCTCATTATGTTGACAATCTCCTAAGTTACTCTGTAGGGTCATGAAATATCACTTGGCCCTAGCAAAGTCGTTCGGTAATGGGGTCACCGAATGTCGATCAGTGTGTCGATCCTCGTCAAGGCCAAAGACAACCAACGCTTACAGTTAGTTGTACACCATGGCTTGGCTTATGCAGCTGTTATCGCACTTTGTTCTTCTGTCTATTCTTATCAATACATTTATACCATGACGTTATGTTTTAGTTATACAGTCATCAAAGTATCCATGGCGCCTGGATGCGATGAAAGTGTAATCTACGTTAAAAATTTACCGTGAGGCATGACTTCAACAAAGGTGGTTGATCATGCCATTCCCATCCAGCTTGAAAAGGCACCTAATCATCAACGCAGATCGCCTACGTTGGTGATTTGCACCATTACAATGTGAAAGGGGGGTCTCATGAGTTTCTCCTATCCACGTTGTCAAATGCTTTCTCAAATTCAAGGACGTTGGCGTATAATGACGAGTTTCATTCAGTTCATTTTTCACCAATGGTCAATGTCCTCGCGATTTGGTCTGAGCACGACCGATCGTTACGAAATCCAGTCTGTGGATCTCGAAGCTGTACGCCTATTGAATCTTTCATTCTGTTGAGCAACACTTTTGAAAACCTTTCCTGGTACCGATAGTAGTGTGGTTTCTCTTTAGTTTTCTCATTTGGTCAGATCTCCTTTCTTTGGGGTCTTGACGAGTTTTTCTTTTTTTCATTTCATCGGTACTTGTTCTTCCTCCCAAATCTTCCTGAATAGAGTGTGAGGCATGTTTGCAATCGCTTCTATATCTGACTTCAGTGCTTCGGTTGGTATATTGTCAGGTCCTGCTGCTTTCCCACTCTTAATTCATCTGATGGCCAATTTTATTTTTTATTTTGTGGATAGAGTATCATCTTTAGGAAGGTGTGCACACTGCTTCAATGTCAAGTGAATTCAGTAAAACCGGTCACTTCAAGAACTCTATGAAGTTCTTCGCCCACCTGTTCCACAGTTCCCAAGTCTTAATGATTGGTTTGCGTCCTTTGTTGTTCATATTTGTCTGAAAGCATCTGTTGTTTTTTTCGACGTTGTTGCTGGGTATTCCACGTGTTTCTACTTACCAGCCCCAATACTTTTACCCAGTTGTTTGTTTATTTCTGTCTATTCTCTCTGTTTCTCTTCTTCCTGTGGTGTTTGTACGAACTAGTGATTCCCTTGACTTTGATGACTGCCTGGTTTCGTTCGTGCTCACCCAGTTCTTCTGGGATTCCTAGTTCATTTAGTAGTTCAAATACTTCTAGTCATCACATTGGCGTCACGATGGAGCCTGTGATAGAATATTTGGACATACACAGAAATTCTGATGCTTTTGACGATTGTATGGAAATATTCGAAATTTGGAGCATGACAAGAAAGATGTGATGGATGGTAAAACTCTCGCTTACTTCCTCACATTGATTGAAAAAGGAGCTTACAGTTTATTAAAAACGTTGGTATTTCCAGAAAAGCTTGTGTCACTTCACTATGCAACCCTCAATGAACTACTATTAAGTCATGTATAGTGCACTAATTGGATGTCGCGAGTCAGCGGAATTTCACAGGATGAGTCGACAGAATAAACAGAGGGTTAGAGAATTCGTCCTTGACTCTCGAACATG